TATCATCAACGATTTATCATCATCTAAACTCCTTAAAAAGCATATGGTACATATTGGTGTGTCAATAAAATGAATAAATGCTTCTTCGTATCTGAGGAAGAATGAGGTTGTAATATACCGGATATGAGTCTTTCTTTTCCCAACTAGACGGATTTTGAAAAAAACTTACTTCAATATCTCCGATTTGACTGATATTATTTAAATGAGTTGCGCTTATAAAACAAAAAAGCTCCTATTGTTGTCAAACATTTTTAATTTTTGTTATAAGAAATACGGGCCTCAGACACCTAGGCAGAGATGTCGAAGAGCCATATTGTTAGATAATATTCATTATATATGGCATCATGACTATATATATTTTTTTATAAAGTAAATTTCCCAAAGTAAATATCTAACTATGAGCAAGATTCTGATCTTTCTTTCTTTGTCGCTGTCTCTTCGTCTCTGCTTCTTTATCACCATCTCTTTTTTTTCTGTCTCTTTGCTTTTGTCTCTGACTCTTTGTTTCTATCTCTTTGTCTGTTTGCCCCTGTCTCTATGCCTCTGTCTCTTTGTCACTGTCCCTTTGCTTCTGTCTCTTTGTTTTTTTACCTTTATCTCTATCTCATCGTCTCTTTGTTTCTTTGCCACTGTCTCTACGCCTCTGTCTCTTTATCTCTGTCTCTTTGCTCCTGTCTCTTTGTTTATTGCTCTTTATCGCTGTCTCTTTGTCTCTGTCTCTTTGTTTTTGTACAAACTTGATTGACAAACCAACAGTTGAGGAAGTTTACGCCATATAGCTTTCCAACGAAATATGTAACGGTGATTATAAAAGGAACTATCTTTAGGTTGATAGAATATTCAACACGTCATCCATACACTTCTCGTTACAGAAAAAACCATATAGAAATCATTTCTGATCTCACTGATTACTGATAAGACATATTCATTCGTAAATAGGTTCCAAAAACGTATTTTTGTTTAAGACGAGATACCATTTTTCCTTTTTTATATATAAGATAAATATGATCACAACACACTGCATACATTTAAATGCTTGAGTGGCACGTACTAAAATCATAAACTCTGTATGAACTTTTTTTCTGAAGTCACTAAATTAAACATGAAAAAAATTATCATAAAAATACTTATACTGAGAAAAAAGTAGTTAAAAAAGTTAATGGCAAAGAAACTTTTGCCTTTTCGTTAAAATAGTTGAACACAAAGATCCTTGCTTTTGACTCTAAATTTTCGTGTAAGTTGTTCAGGTAAATAACACAAAACTCTTTAAAATGTTACATACACAATTGAAATTTCAATTGGAACAGAAAGTCAACATACATAGGAACCATTTAATTATACATATTTACATTTATGTACATATCTACATATATTTTTATTCATTTGAAGTGTGCCATTGCCCTGAGGCGAAACGAGTAGAAACACAGCAAAACACATTAATTTACGCAGTTTTTTGCAGGCAACTGTGCGGAAGTCGGTTGCTTTTGCTTTCCAAAATGAATTTCCTTATCAAAAACGTATTAAACCTCAGCAATATTGCGACTGTTAGGCATGAAAATATGTTCAAAGATTAATGGCGAAATTTTCGTAATTGCTGAGCATGTGTATGACTTCCAAAGGAATACCTAGAAAGAAAGTTGAACATTAAAGAAAGTACACTTTATTATGTAGTATTCGTAGTAGTCCGTATGTGAAATGTTATTGCTCTCAATGCTTTGTACTGTTTTCGGAGTAAAATAATAATTAAAATTTTAAAATTCTTAATATCAAATAATAGAAATTTCAGAATATTCACAAAAATTTCTTCAAATTATCGAAATTAAATACGGATAACACGTCACCCAAATTACTTGAAACCTTTCGAAGCAACAAAAACAACAAATCATTTTCTATTACTTCCTTTTAACTCCCTTTAAACCTTCCCTAAAACATTCACACTCATTTAATAAAGAAAAGGGTATGAAAATTTAAATGCCAGATGATCCTATTAACCTTCTGCTTTTCAAAAACATTACCTCTCAAAATAATAAATCTACCGCGCCGAAATCTTAAACTGACCTTTTCGATAAATTGCCCAACGATAGAAAAACTCCTACTTGTTGGCTGTCATCTTTTCAATATTAAATCAATTTTAAAATCGCCATGAAATTTATCGCCCACCACCGCAGAACAAGCAGAAGGCAGCCGAAAATAAAGGATAAAGGCATTATTTTTTCAATACCAACAAGACTGGCCTTGAGAAATACGTGAAATAAGAAGCTAAAAAGGAATTATGCGAGTATGAAATCCTTTAAGCAGCCCAAGGTGATATTTTAGGAAAAAAAATTCAATATAAAATTATACAAAAGAAATGAAATGAAATAACAAAAAACATAAAACAAAAATAAAAAATAATAATAATAATAAATAAAATCTAATACATTACATTGCAGAAGAAATATGTTGGCCGCAGGTGAAAGCAGTTTTCGCTTTAACACTCAAAGAGTAAACTTTCTGATAACCTAGCAGCCATGTCTTTCGCCAAATCTTCCATTTTTTTCCTTGACTTTGGCTTGTTCGTCTTTTTTGTTGTTGTTTGCTGTCACAACATTCCACCACTTGGCCATATTTCATTTTTGTCTTGATAGCTCATCGTTTTCCACGGCGTTGTGTTTCCTTTTACCTGTGCTGGTACCTGTCACGTTGGCAAATGAAGCGGAAATGCCTCGTTGAGCAACACAGAACACAATTAGAAAAACAAATGAAAAACACCTCCCTAATAAATTTTAACCAAAATGGATCCTACATCCTTGATTTGATCATTTTGATGTATCCTTTTAGGAATTTTTAAATAAGTTTGCTGCAAATGTTTATTGCTAACGTAAAATAAGGAAGCGAATAAAGAAATTAAAATATTTATTTAATTATAGATAAAAATATTTATCTATATTTGTTTCTTCTTAATAGTTTATAATGACTCACTATCTACGAGTATAGCACTAATTATATGCTTGCAAGATCTGTTGTTAGAATATTCCGCTCTCATGATGAAGCATCGAAACATTTACAACTTTATGTTAAAAAATCTATATAAAATATACTAATATACTTACCTCGAGTATCTGAATGAATAAAGGACTTTAATAGAGTCAGCTATTTGAGGTAACTGGTTCCATTATACTATGTATCCATATGAAATACTTTCAAGATATAGATGTTAAAAAATCTTAACTCTTGACATGGATTACAATAACAAAAAAGCTATTCACACCCTCTGGTGACGATTAGTACAAGCAATTTTTACATAAATTACGTACGCAATAGGTAACAACAAATAGCTAATAGACGCGCTGTGTACTTTTCATTAACTGACATTAGGTTGATTTTCTTGCTAATTATACAGCCTAATTAAACAAAAAAGATCTTGTGACATTTATAAGCAGAAATTGATTGTACACCAAACAATCTAACACTCATAAAATTATAGACTCTCTTCCTTTTCACCATAAAGCTTGCAGTGTATATGTCTTTTCCCCCTTTTGAAACTTGTGAGCAGTAATTTGACTCAAAGATCTACGCATATCACATCTCCCTAATCTGACTTAGTTCCTCTTTTATCTTCTGTCCATCATGTCCAATTTATTTCAGGTTTGCAAATTTCTATGCTAGTTCATAAAGTCCCCCCTTGAGCGATTTACTCACTAACTATATATATATTATTACTATTAAATCGTTGGATTACAAAACAAAAACTGTTTTTAAATTGTGTGTTTAAACTACTACTCCACTCACTACTTAAACGTTCATACTTACCTTCCTATTTAGTTGATTATTACAGAAGCGAGTCGTCTATGGACGCGTTCAGTAGCCTCCACCTGCCAGCCTGAAGAGTAGTTTGCTCTTGCCAGTTGGTAGTATGTAGTCCTTTTATATCTTTGATCATCTAACCTTCCACCGAAGATAAAGAGCATCCTCTACCGCGTTTTCCGCTAGCGAGTATCGAATCAAACATCTTCTTCGCGGGGCCTTTTCTTCCATATGTGCGATATGACCAAGCCAGCGAAGCTGTTAAATTTTTATACACTTAACTAACATATGTCAATGCTATATGACTAACATATGCTATATGAGCTCAATGTTTTACTTAAAGATTCATATGTAAAAGTTTTTCAAGTTTTCTATATTGTTTTTGAAAGCTTTGTCAATCAGTTAGTGGAATATAGTAAGCTTCATCATAACAAGGTTACATCTTCGCGTAAATCTTTTACATAAACATTAGGTCACATGAAATGGAAGACTAAACTGAGTAAATCCAATTCAATTAAGTACACCGACTACACGTACTTATGATATGATATCATCACCCTCTGAAAGTACATCCGAAAGAAGACAGATATATGCTATAAATAAACATTATTTATTTTAAGATAAATACATTAACCTAATGAAGTCCTTAACAAACAGCAAGATATATATTATTTACGTTCCTTTTGTTATATTTCAAACCTTTGCGCTCTAATATGTAAAGGATAAGGCATGAATAGTGGTTAAACTAAGCAGATTTCAATTTTCCTTAGTTTTCCTTAGCAATAAATAAAGTCAAGTAAATCGAAAGAAAAACTTAAGGAAATAAAAAAAGTAATTCTAAGCTGCAGCCTATATGTCTGCCTCTGAATTGGAAATGTAAATGTAATTCCAAGCAAATATACGTAAGGTTGGGAGAAAAGCTAAAATTAAAGCAAACAAAACTAAACAAATAAACTATTAAAAAGCAGCAAAAAGAACACATCTAAAGAAACGAATGAAAATAGAAAATAAAAGATAAAAAAAAATTGAAAGGAAAAAAACGGAAACAATAAAAACTAATTTCAAGCAAATAACAAATCATCGTCCTTATATGCCTTTTGCTAATTTCATCGCATTTTTCTAATATTGCTTCTCTTTTATATTTACTTTTGTCCGTTTCTTTTTCTTTTCATGTACATGTATATACACAACGACTTGCTGTTCTATGGACATAGATGAAACTATACTCTCCGAGGATCCCACACCAGCTGAAACAACACATCATGCCAGCGGAGGAACATCTAGCGCCAGTGGCACCGGAGCAAGCATAAGTGGTCCTGAAAAACAATCAACGTTGCTCATACTGGCCGCAGTGGTTGCGATAGGTGCCGTCATAGTAACGTCAATTATTGTGGCGGGCATTGTGGTCGTTTGTAAGCATAGACCAAGGCCACCTGAGCCACAGGATGTGCGCAAAAGTATGAGGTAAGTATGAATGAATGAAGGGAAAGAATAGCGAAAAATAATTGAAGGTATAAATTATACATGTGATACGTGAGTGAATGAGTGAATGAGTGCTTCCTAAAGCGGTTGAGTGAATGAGCGCTGGGTTGCATAGCACACCTAGATATGGTTGAAGGATTAAAAATGAAAAACTGTGAAAAATATGCAAAGCAAACCATCATAGACGATTGCTACTATCTGCATACATTTCAGTTTGCATAATTTGTTGGCCTTTTCTTTTGGTTTAAATTCCTCTACTTTTTTCTCTATTTTCTCTCATATCGCTTTAACATAATTTAATTTGTTTCCGTTAACTGCTCTGGCAGCAGACTTTTATAAATTTATTTGCATTGTTAAGGACATGGATGCAACCTGTCTGTGTACCTGTGGTTGTGTGCGCCAAAGGAATATATTGGAATTATAACCTCACAGCAAATTAAGCTGTTTAGTTATGCATAAGGTAAATTTATTTGATTTGACTGGACTTGTGGTGGAATAAATTTTAATTTAATAATATTTTCTATTATGAGTACGTGTATTAGGGTTGGCAGCTCAAATGAATTTTGGGTACACGTGGCGTATGAGTGATGTTATCTTTTCAAAATGAAATTAATACAAATATTTGATAAGTATTATTAGATATGGAATATATTTTTAAGAAAATATACATTATAATATTATACACAAAATATAATTAGTATTCCGTCCTCTTGACATATCAAATTCATGTACGAATCTCGAATGGTATGATCGAGTGTAATTAGAATGAATTAAATAAACAATATATATATTACATGCCATCTTTGTGAAAAAATTAATATTATTTATAATATTAAATCAGTTCATTAAAAATACTAATTAAATAAGTAAATTCTTAGTAATTCTAATAAATTCTAATGAATACTTAAACGAAAAAATATGACGAAAAATTTGTTTAAAGTCCAAGTTAGTTTAAACCACATCATTGCTATTATTGTATACCCAATAAGAGCAATGTATTTATGTATCTATTGGAAACTAATGCACCATGTTCATGAAAATCCACATAAAGGCTTTACGAAAATTCAGGAAACCATAAAAATGTAATAAAATAAACTGTACAATATCTGTACTGTACACTCTTTCTTAGCAAAGCGGTAATTCTTAAGTAGTTACAAGCCTTATCTAAAAACCCAGCAATTTTCGTAAAGAAACCAATTGAAAATGGCTATAAATTCATAAATACAAACATTTAAGGGATCCATAAAATTGTTAAAAATTGTTGCTTACTTTCATTTCATGTACCCGTGCTTTTTGGCATCCTAAAAGTATTTAAGTTAATGTTGACATTTATGCCTTGTAATCCTGAAAGTAAATAAATCCTAGCTTAAATCACAACTTATGGTTTATTATTTATTGCACGAGTAGAGCAATTAAGATCTTCATAATTAAAGTTTACATACTTATAAAGGATAGTTCGTAATGTAAACTAAAAAATTCTAAATTAAAAATATTGCAAAATATTAATAAAAAGGCGATATTACTAAATTTTATAAATAAATTAAATGAATTTATAAATTCATGTACTTTTTCAGCCTTAATAGTAGACATATTAAGTAAACTTATATATTCAAAAGTTATGAGGCATAATAAACACCACAGGTACAATTAGTGTGACTCGAGATTTATAAAATCGGCCGTATGTGTTTATATGATCAAAAACCAAAATTGTTTAATTGAATATAAAGGAAAACTTGCCTAAACATTACTGTTAGCATAGGTCCACAACCAACCACTTCAAAGCTAGCATAAATATATTATATTAAATTAATAAACATTATTATTTGCATCCCTACGAATTTTTACTATTAGCTCTATATACATATCTTATTGCGAAGTAAATGAGAATTATAATTTTTGTAACATCATTATTATTTATATTTTTACAATTTATTAAAAATTTACCAATTCTTATTATATGAAAATATTTTAGTTCCTAAACGAAAAATTTCAAGAGTTTTCTATCAGGTTCTAAGTATGTTAGATCAAATTATTTATTATTTAAGAATAAAAAGTTCTTCAAACTTGTTTTATACATCGTATTATATAACTTTTAAGAAATAATGTGGCTTTATAAAATAATCAACTTAAATAGAAGTAATTATCAATCTCTATTGTAAATTAATATTGATATTGATAATACATTATACTCCATTAAGAGGTTTTCGCAATATACATGCAAGAAACGTCTAACAATTTTATTCTGCAACATTCTGTGCAATTACAATTAAATCAATCACCTTCATCAGTTCCACTAAATAAAGTAGCAAAAAAATAAATTAGAAATAAACTTAAAAAAAAATTAAATATAAGTACCCTATAGCAAAGTTACAACCAGTGTACAAAGCACATCTTCAAGCATAACCCGTACCACACTCCAATTATAAATGCTCCTAAGCCAATCATCTTAGCTACCTTAAACTCTTAAGTAGTTGCAAGGATAAAAAATAAACTAAGCAATAATAAACTCATTTATTTTATCCTGTTGTTGCTTAACTATTCTGATAAGCTTCCCCATAAAGGTACAAACAATTTATTGTGTACTCACTTCACAAAGAACAGGAGCAAGAGCAATTGTATCTGTACGAACGCCTCATACCCCGTCCTAACAACAGCAATACACTTACTTGCCCACTAAATTATCTAACGGCAGTAATTAATTTAATTAGACTCATCAAAAGCTTGGAAAAAACGCATCAATTTAGATGCGAGATCTAAGAAACTGCCACGTGGAAACTGATTAGAGCAAGTGAACCATCGAATGCGAAAGGGATGTAGAGAATAGAGAAAAGTAAAAAGGAATAAGTAGAGTTCCTTAATGAAAGTTTTTACTTGCGTGGGTGTCATCGATATGTATCTGCACTTGCTACCTACTTGTATCATAAATTGTTATGTAAAAGTACGAGCACAAGAAATTCCCAGCAGATGTTGTATTGCTAAGTACAACACCTTCCACAAATTATCCTGAAATTAAGACAATCAAAGCAAACGTACTGAATTAGAGTACACAGGAAGAGAGTCTAGAATGCATCAAATTACTTACAAGTGTCGGCAGGGAAATTGCCTGTAAGATATTATCTACAAAGAAAAGACATCTAAACAGGTTATTAGGATACTTGTACTTTTATAAGATTTGTTGTTGTTTTTCAAATATTATTTTTTATATTTTCTTAGAAACTTAGTTTATGTTGACCTTTTATATGTAGTTTACCTAACAGTTAAAAAAAGGTGTCGGACCTTTGGTACATGCTATTTTAATGACTAACAGTTGAGATTTAATATCAAAAGTTTTTAATGTGCAAGTTTTTTAATAATTCCAAAAAAAATATTTAGAATAAATCTTATATTTTCAAACGATTTAAACAACTTTTAGGTATGTATATAAATATTAATAACTTTTTACCAGCTGGATTTTATTTTTGCAACAAGGACTAAAGCAACGAAAACCTTAGGTAGTGTGAGACTTCAATATGTCTTTTCCATCAGAATTGTCATAACCTCCTGATGCGCAATTTATGAGGGGCTTTATGTCTGGTAGCCATCGTAAGCAGTGAATCTCAATCTGTCAATTAATTAATTGTCTTGTGTCATAATATAAATAATTATCTGCACTTCAAACATGTTCAATGATTCACTGTTTAGTCAACACTTTGACAGAAAACTTATTGATTGCGTACCAGATGAATAAAATAAATGAATACCATGTCTACTAAAACGTTTTAAGTAATAAAAACATAATTAAATACTGTGGCTTCTTATTAAAATAATTATTTAAAAAGCAACAAAAATACTCATTAACCATTTAATGAAAATTTTGAAGGAAGAAAGTATTAATTGTATTTGTCCACATCCAAAAAACTTTACTAACAGTTTAGAGATACAACTCACTCAACTTTCTTTTTTCTATATGAAGTCTACTAGTGGATTATACCTTAAACAAAAATTTAAATACTCTTATCCAGTTCTGGACTCTCAAACTGTGATCTAAATACATGTATCCCTTCATCATTCTTTTTTCTACATGATATCTGCTTGAGTATTAGTATACACTAAACAAAAATCTAAATATTCCTATCCAGTTCTGGAATCTCGAACTGTGACCTAACGTTATATGTCCCCTTATTAATTTAAAGTGTTTCTTTGAGTCAAATTTTCTTAATTAATTGTGGTATTTTATCTATTTTAGCGAGGCATAGTCTTTATCCAACGACAGTTGCTCACTTAAGCATTTTTTATGTGTTTGCAACTCTGCCGAACATGCTCAGGATCTCATTAAAATCTGTGAGTTCTTTTAGAATAGTCCTAATTCTATTAGGTGACAATGCGTTATAAAAATCCTTGTAATAATTCTTAATAATTTTTTGTAGAGTAAGAGAGTTGGTGTTCACACCACCTCATTTCTTTCATTCAAGACGAGTATATATGTTTTATGCGTTAAGCTGGACAGCCCTTTAATCCACAATAAGATAGCAAAGGAAAGAAAAAGATTTGAAAATTATTTTTGCTAAAGTTTTGTTTACAATCTTCTAAGCTATTATATTAAAGTTCTCAGTAAGTGGTTTCTTTATTTGAATGAATGAAAATGAGTTGCCATCTCATCTATTTTTTTCTATTTTTTGCTTTTTCGAAGCCTCCTTCAATTGAAATTTCTGGCTACGGACATACTTTAAAACGATTTTATCAAAAACCATTCTGACAAATACGTATTCTTACGAATACCTCATTTAAATGTATGCTAAATATCTGAATCCCTGAACATTAAGTGAAGCTATATGAGAATGTATGTATCTATTAGTAAGCAAAATGAATTCATTGAAACTATAATTTAATTAAAAAATTTTTTTAGCACATTTTCCTATACAACAGCTATCAAATTATAATGAGTACATATTTAACTTGACTATTTAAAAAAGAATCCGTTTCCAAATAAAGTGAAGGCTTAT